CGGGGGGGGGGGGTGCCGGGTGGTGCTGGTTGACGGTGGCATGCGCTGGAGCGCCCCGTATGCTTTACGTCTAACATACGCTGAGCCGGGCCCCGGCCGCCGTACTGCCTTATTTGTCGACGGTGTAAAGTTGTTTGGGCCGCGCGACACTTTTCCCACACCGATAAAGCTCGTCGACTCAACAAGTCCACGGCCACGCACATGGCGGCGGGTACGTAGTAGACACACGGCGAGCGGCGTCGTGGGACTGGCCGGCGGCGGGGGCCGCGCGTGAGTTCAAATCCGCGACTCCAAAACCGAATCCTGACTACTACTAATTCTCAGGTGCCACGGCGAATTTCTTGGGTGTACCAAAATTAGCCAATGTATGCGCTCTGACAACTACGGCGTGACCGGCGCTGGACGCGGCGCTGGACGACGCCCTCACCACCTACCAGCAGCAACAGCAGCAGCAGCAGTATGGCGTGCGTGTCTGTCTCGGCGCGTCGTCGTCATGCCGCACCGCACTCGAGGCCCGCGGCTACGCGTCCCTCTGTCAGGCCGCTCGCGGGCGGCTCGCTTCCGAGTGCGGTATGGGTGGATGGGCCTGATGAAACGCGCCCACCAAATCACCGCCAGCGGGTGGCCAAAACGGGTGGACCATCGTAGCTGGCAACGATATTTGGCTACATGACGGACCTGATTGCGATCATGAATCTGCAAATGCATTTGTAAATTTTGAAAATGCAATAATGCAATTGTAAGTTTACTAGTTTACAACAGTTAACACGTTCCCTGCGGAAATTTTGTTTTTTTGCCTATGATTTAACACGGGAGCGTCACCACATAGTGGTCACGCCGCAGGGAACGTGTTAAAGTCGACCAAAAATTTTACGTAACTCAATCTCGCCAAAGTTTATAATCTGGTTTTGTAATTCTGCATGGATTTTGTTTATATGCAAAAAAAGAAGGCTCAGGCGAACTTGATGTCAAGCATTTTCCCTACCCACCAGTACAATAGGTTTTATTCAGGGTTACAAGTGAAAGCTGAAACTAAAAATGTCCTGAGACATATAATTTTTTGGTTTGGAATCAAGCCTATTTTCTATAAATTTCATGGCTGATTAAGATGAAGAATACAGACCCAGCTGTTGTCTTCTCAGTTCTCATCAATTGAAAGCTACCAAAACAATGTCCACTTTAGTTTGTTCTTGTGTTTTAACTTGTTTGAATTATTTATT